CCCTCGTTACCAACCCGTCTCTTCCGGTCTCGCGTCTTGACGCTCTTGTCGCTGCGGTCGCTGACTTTGCCTCTACCCACCGCCTTGACTACGCGACCGCTCTGGTCTCCGACCCTGCCTATCCTCCGTCCGTCGCGGGTGCTCCTGCCCTTGGCAGTAACGTCTTGGACTTCTTTCAGACCTTCGTCCCGACCCCAAAGATGACTACTCTTCGGGCGCTCCTACACATAGCAGCACTACGTGACTACGAGTTACACTCCCTCGACTTCTCCACCGCGTTTCTTCAGAGCAGCCTACACGAGCAGGTCTACCTGCGCCGCCCTCAGGGCTTCACTGGTACCTTCCCTCCTGGGACCCAGTGGCTCCTGCGGCGCCCAGTGTAGGGCTTGCGACAGGCGCCCTGTGAATGGCACGACACGCTGCGTGCTACCCTTGCAGACCTGCAGTTCTTTCCATCCTGTGCAGACCCCTCGCTCTTCGTTCGTGCTGGCTAGACCCCGTTCTACATCCTCGTTTACGTAGACGACCTGGTCTTTGCCACTGCAGACACTGACGAGCTGGCCTTCGTGAAGACAGAGCTGCTGAAGAGACACCTGCACTAACCTAGGAGAACTGCGCAACTACCTTGGCCTGCAGATCTCCAGGGACAGAGCAGCGCGCACCATCACCCTCACCCAGTCACACTTGGTGCACCAGGTCCTTGGGAGGTGCGGCCTTCATTTCTCCTCCGCACAACCCACACCTCTTCCAGTAGATCATAGGCTCTCTGCTCCAGTTCCTGAAGAGTCAGTAGAGCCCAGTGGTCCTTACGCAGAGCTGGTGGGTTGCCTCATATATCTGATGACTTGCACTCGTCCATATCTCGCATAGCCTCTCTGCTTCTTGGCTCGCTTTGTGGCCACAGGCAGACACTGACCTCAGCACTGGTCTACTGCTAAGAGGGTTTTGCGTTATCTCGCAAGTAAATGGGGCATGGGGTTAGTGCTGGGAGGACGCAGGCCAGTGGTCCTTACTGGGCACACCGACGCATCTTGGGCAGACGACGCCGAAACCCTCAGGTCCTCGTAGGGCTATTGCTTTAGCCTTGGTTCAGGTGCCATCTCGTGGAGAGCTACTCGCTCCTTGTCTGTTGCCCAGTCCTGCTGTGAGGCCGAGATCTACGCCGGTGCCATGGCGGCACAGGAGCTCCGCTGGCTGACCTTCTTGCTCACTGACTTAGGTGAGCGGCCTAGCTCTGCCCCAGTCCTTTACGCTGACAACAGGGCCATGATCCTCCTTTGTCAGGAGCTTCAACTTGAGGGCAGAGCGAAGCACATCCAGCTGCGGCACTTCGTCCTGCGTGAGCTACATCAGCGCTGCCAGGCACGCGTAGTACACTTGGCCTCCGGTGCCAACACACCTGATATCTTTACGAAGGCGCTTGCGCCTAACGATCATCAGCGGCACTGTATACATTTAGGTCTCGTTCCTGTAGCCTCTCACCTGCTAGGGCCTTGACTATGTATAGACCTTTATATATATTTTACCCTGACTGGCCTTGTGGCCTCTCCCAATGGCTGGACTTGTAGTGCTGCCCTGGTCTTGCTCTTGCGTTGGTTTGTTTTCGTTTGACTGGTCTTTAGACCCTTGCCTCAAAGGTTGGACTAGTAGTGCCACCCTGAGTTGCTCGTTCTCTCGTCAAGAACTGCCCCTATACAGTCTAGGGGTGTGTCAAACATATATCATTATGTTTGTGTAGACTGTATAGGTTTGTGCCTTAGAGGGCACAACTCCTAGGTCATATACCCTTGTACACATGCATTCTAGTCATTCTCTCATTCTAACAGTTGGCTCATGGATGGGTCTGATCGAAGGGTAGAGTCGTTGACGGTCGAGATCAGCCGTGTTTGCAACAAACTGCCGAAGGAGACTGACGTGGAATGAATCGTGGATACGCGAGTCGTCCGGTAATGGTAACTTGGCGGTGACAGGTGTCACCATTCGGACAATCCGGAAGGGCCTACAAAATATCGGGCGGAGTTTATGTGGTAAACTCAACCCCAAATTCTTGGTGTCCATAAGTGTCAACTTATACATATATTATTATGTAGAAGTTATAGGCTAGATAGGGTATGTTCTTAGTGGTGTTACCCTGGTTTGCTCTGTCTTGCTTGTACTCTTGCTGATTGGTCTTCGGGCCCCTGCCTTAGAGGTTGGACTAGTAGTGCCACCCTGAGCTGCGTGTTTCTTGCTCAGCACTACCCCTTATCTAGCCTAGGTGGTGTGTCAACTTATACATATATTGTTATGTAGAAGTTATAGGCTAGATATGGCATATTCTTAGTGGGTACAACCCAAATGCTATATCTCTCCTGTTCTCCATTGTTCTAATTATTCTTTCTAGAATAAACAATAAGGACTAGTTGCCCAGGAGACAAGGGTAGAACCCGTCAATGCCTGAACGCGTACCGTTTGGTCGTAAGGTTGGCTTTTGAAATGGCCACGGTAGCGTTTTTCTATACAGTCTATAAGTCCTTGACGAACTGTTTCGATCGTAGGGCAGGGCTCTCAACTAACAGTGTAGTGGGAGTCATGGGGTTTAGACCGTAATTCAGGTAGAACAATGATTGGGCAGTCGTTGACGAATGGGCGTTGTTATACGCGAACACGATCAGAGGGAGGGAATCTACGCATTGGGTCGGGTCGGTACAGGTTGTCCGTATCAGTTGCTCCATGGTCTGATTTGTCCGTTCAGTCTGACCGTCGGTCTGTGGGTGGTAAGCAGTGGACAGATGGACGTGTACAGTACTGTTCCCACATTTTCTTCCAGAAGTTGGACATGAATCGGGGGTCACGATCGCCTTCGGATTCCGTGCAGGCGAACGATGGTTGAGATGAACAGCTTGGCAGTTTGCACGGCTGTGATCGTCATTCGGCATGGCACGGAATGAGCCATTTCGTGAGTCGGTCAACGACCACGAGTACGACATCATTTTGGGATGCGCCGGCTGGCAGTCCTGTCACGAAGTCATTTTGGTGAGAGGGTTTCATCAGTGGCAGGTGGGCCATGAGGCCACATATTGCTGCACGTCGTGGCTCGCATTCGGCCAGTAATAATGACGTTGGAGCATTTTCAAGGTTTTATCAACCCCGAAATGTCATAAGCAATTAGCGTCATGAACGTCCTGTATCAGTAATTCCAGTAACAGTCGGTAGGATGGAACCCAAATTCGGTCAGTACAAGCTTTAAGATGGTAGTGACTATCAACTTATACATATGTTTATATGTAGAAGTTATAGACTAGATAGGTTTGTGTTCTTGGAGGGTACAACTCCAACCCTATATCTCCCCTGTTCTCACTTGTTCTAGTTCATTCGGCTACTCTAACATGGTATCATAGTAGGTTTGGTCCGCCCACCCGCTTCCGCCCTCGCCCTAGCCTACCGCCCCGTCGTACCCTAGCCTTAGCGCGCCCCGCCGGCCCTTAGCGCCCCGACGACCCCGCTCCCGCAAGCTGGTCCTCTACGCGCCTTGCCGGCCATTAGCGCCCGCCGGCCCTTAGCGTCACGCCGGCCCCTCGCGCGCCTTGCTGGCCCTTAGCGCCCCACTGGCCCTTATCACCTCGCTGGCCCTCGCGTACTCGCCGGCCCCTCGCGTACCCCGCCGGCCCCTCGCGTGCCCGTCGGTCCTCGGCCGCTTGGGCCCTGCCGGCCCTTAGTGCCTCGACGGCCCTTACCCACTGGCACCTCGCGTACCCGCCAGCCCCCTCTTAGCCTCGCTTACCCGCCGGCGCGTCTCGTCGGCCTTAGTGCGGCCCTTCGCACCCCGCCCCTCGGTCCCTCGCATGCCTGCTGGCCCCCTTTAGCACCCCGCTGGCCCTAGGCGCCCCGCCAACCCCTCGAGCGCCCGCTGCCCCTAGCGCCCGGCCTGGCCCTAGCGCTCCGCCGGCCCTTGGCGCCCCGCCGCCCCTTTCGAGTCCCGTTGGCCCATCGCACCTTGCCGGCCTGCTGCGCGCCTCGGACCCTGTGTGCCCTGCATGGCCTTCTGCGCGGTCTTCCGCCGGAGAGGTCTGCCGCCATGCCGCTGTGCCGCCATGCCGTTGAGTACCTGTGATGTTGTGTCACCGTGTTGCTGTGCCGCCGTATCGCTGTGTCACTGTGTCGCTGTGCCGCTGTGTCGCAGTGCCGCCGTGAAGCTGTGACGCTGAGGTTGCACGATGGCGGACACCGTACTCCGCCTGGACGCGGAGGGGCACGCGATCGACTTCGCCGCCTGGCTTGTTGATCTTCGCCGTCACCTGATAGGTTAGCGCCCGGATGGGCACTCCCTGGCTGTGCATGATGGTTTGCTTCCCCGCCCCCCCGTGCCTGATCTCCTCCCTGCTGACCCTACAAATGCTGAGCGTGAGGCCTTTTCTGCTACTACGCTCACTCGCGCTGTCTGGGATTCCCGCGATGCCGTAGCGCAGCTAGCCATTAGTCATGCTCTTCCCCTGTCCGAGCGTCTGCGCTTCACTGCTGTCGCGAACGCCAAGGATTTCCTAGATACAATAGTTGAGCGCTACTCCACACCCGCCTCCGCCTCTGCTGGCTGCCTGAGAACTTTCCGGCCCTGTCTAAGATAGAGACTCGCCAGCGCACTATCGCTCAGTCGAGCGGTGTTGCGGCAGTCCCTATCTTTTGGGGCTGTGCTCCCTCCTAGTGCACGTATGCTAACGTTTCCACTGCGGTCGCTACAGCTGCTCCTGCCGCTGAGACCGCAGCACCAGCCTTCCCGCAGCAGCAGCGACAGCGCCAGGGCCGTCGCGGCCCCAAGGGAGGGCGTGGTGGTGGTGGTGGCGGCGACAGTGGTTCGGACGAGGGGGCTGGGGCAGGCATCCAGGAGCAGCAGCAGGCACAGCAGCAGCCGCAGCAGCCGTGGGCCCGCTTCCCGCCGGGGTGGCCAGGAGCCCCTGGAGGGGGTGGCCGAGGTGGCGGTCCTCGCAGCTCCTACCAGCGGCTTCGGTGCTGTGGGCTGCCAATACTAGCTCCAGACCGGGCCCCTTTGTGGCACTGTGTGCCGCCATCCGCACCCGACCACCCGCTGCTTCCGCCGCCTCGAGGACCTCTTTCGTCGCCGCTTCGGCCCGGCCCCAGACCTCCCTGACTGGCCCAGTCTGCTGTGCCATGGTGTGCCTGTTTTTGACTTAGACATGGTTCAGATTACATCTGCCTTGCATTCTCTGTATGCTGACGCTTCTAGTGTGTCTAGATCTTATTACCCTGTGTTCTCTAGCTTAGGCGTAGCACCTATATGTAGTACAGAGACCCCTGCTGCGTCAGGCGTAGGACCGTTTTCTTTGTCTAGTCTAGGCTCCACAGTCGCACCTCCTTCGTCTGCCGCTACTGCTTCGCTGTCCTTCACACTTGACTCCGGTGCGTCTGCCTGCTTCTTCCGCGACCACGCTGCGCTTATGCCGCTTGTTGCGCCTGCCGTTGTCACACTTGCTGACCCCTCCTCTGGTCCTGTAGTTGCTCGTAGCTATACTACCCTTCCCTGTCCAACCGTAACCTCGGGTTCCCTTACAGGCCTGCACATCCCATCGTTCTCCCATAACTTAGTGCTGGGTGGACGCAGACCAGTGGTCCTTACTGGGCACACATACGCTTCTTGGGCAGACGATGCTGAGAGACGCAAGTCCTCCCAGGGTTACTGATTTAGCCTTGTTCAGATGCCATCTCGTGGAGGTCCACTCGCTCAGTCTAACTGTGAGGTTGAGATCTACGCCGGTGCCATGGCGGCACAGGAGCTCCGCTGGCTGACCTTCTTGCTCACTGACTTAGGTGAGCGGCCTAGCTCTGCACCGAATCTATACGGTGAGAACAGGGCTATGATCCTCCTGTGTCAGGAGCCTCGCCTTGAGGGCAGAGCAAATCACATCCAGCTGCGGTACTTCCTCCTGCGCGAGCTGCAGCAGCGTCGCCAGGCCCGCGTAGTACACGTGGCCTCCGGTGCCAACACAGCTGATATCTTTACGAAGGCACTTGCGCCTAAAGATCATCAGCAGCACTATTTGCAGTTTTTTTCTAGTTCCTGTAGCTACTCACTTGCTAGGACCTTGATTGTGTAGTCCTCTTTATATATACCTTTTTGAATGGCCTTGTGGCTTCTCTTCCAGTGACCGGACTAGTAGTGCCACATTGGTTTGCTCTTTTCTTGTTTGTACTCTTGCTGACTGCACTTTGGACCCCTACCTTAGAGGTTGGACTAGTATTGCCACCCTGAGCTGCGTGTTTCTTGCTCAGCACTACCCTTTATCTAGCCTAGGGGGTGTGTCAACTTATACATATGCTTATAGGTAGAATTTATAAGCTAGATAGGTTTGTGTTCTTAGAGGGTACAACTCCAACCCTATATCTCCCCTGTTCTCACTTGTTCTAGTTCATTCTGCTAATTTGACAGTGGCCTCATTGAGCGATGAGGGCCTGGTGGCCGTTAGAGGTGAAGAGAGGATCCGTATTGTAGCCGTGGGTAAACAGTCCAGTTAGCAGCAGGTTAGCTTGGGCAATTAATACGGCGACTGTATAGGCAGTAGGGCAGGAAATGACATCGACAATATTATTTGGAAGTGTCGGACTCGACGTCGCGTGCAGGCTTGGGGTCTCGAACGTATAGTAGTTCAAATCTGATCTGAATTGTCGGGCAGAGCATGGACTTCCGAAAGTCAGGGCTGTACTCAATGTTAGCGAGGCTCGATAAGGACAAGTATTTTTCCTTACAATGCAGCTCATAACATGTCCCAGTACATTTACCCATTACATCCAAAAGAATGTAACGGTAACAAATAAGAACAAATGGAATTTTGTAGCTCACATGCGAGCATGGACAAACACCAACACCTACCTAACATTCATAAAGCCTTATTATTTGGCCAGACTGTCAAACATATCCTTGCATGTTGTTCTAGAATATACAGGATTGTGCCTTAGAGAGTACAACCCACTAGGTTATATTCCCTTGTATGACATGGTTCTATTCATTTCGTTAACTTTGATACAGACAACTATCGTTCATCAGCAATAGCTTGTCTCAATTTCATCGAAAATACTCCGAAGCTTGCTAACCATAATTGACATTGGAGGCCGTTGCTTCCAATTGCAGCAGATGGCATAGCGAACCAGAGTGACGGCAATAAGAACAGGCCTCCTTGCCCACTCCCCCTCGATAGCAGGGTCCATAACCAACAAAGGGTCGGGTAAATCCTTGGAGATTATTAACTGCCTCAACTCCTGGTACTGTGCACTGAGGGGGCAGCAGCCAGACATCAGCTCCAATAAGAACACGCCAAAAGCGAAGGTGTCAGATTTCTGGCTTAGTTGGCCAGTCTGGAAATAGATTGGGTCGATGTAGCCCATAGATCCAACCACTTTCGTTGAGACGTGCGTTTTCCAGTCATCTATAGTGCGAGCCAAACCAAAGTCAGCCACCACCGGAGTGAGATCCTGCAGTTACCAGTAACAGATTAAAAGGATGGAACATATAGATCAGATAAGGTGCTGATATGAGATGGAATGGAATGAGTCAGCACAAATTTAGCATGTACGGGGAGCAACTCAATGCAGCAGAAGAAAGGTCACAGCGTAGCAGGTGACAAAAGAATGGAATTATCGAAACACTCCCACCCAAGATAATATCATGGCCCCGTACCTCTCGCAGAAGCTCATTTGACGACTTGAAGTCACGGTGAACAATGTTGTGTGCGTGAATGGTAGCTAGTGCCTTAGCACACCCCAAAGCCACCCTCATACGATCCCTCCAAGGGAAGTGCACTCGCCCTGGGGGACTGGATATGGGAGTACGGGGGAGGGGGAAGAGGAAGGGGAAGAGGGATGAGGGGGTTGTTGTTGTGAGTTGCTATCCGCTTGGAAGAGCGAGAGGAGGATAAGAGAATATACGAGAGAGGAAAAGGCAGGGAGAGGGAGTGGGGAGCGAAGAGGAAATGGCTAGCTCACCTCTTTTGAGGAAGCACTTGACGTCGCCCCCACAGATGAGCTCGAACACTAGGACAGGCCCTTAGGTTTGTGTCTAAACGCCAGCTTCCAAACGCAGGATGTTGGATGATTCACTGGCTGGACATGGCTGCCACCTCAGCCCTGAAAAATGGCAAAACGCAAAAATGTACTGACGAGCAGGATGCAAAGCCGCCGCATTTTGCCATGCCCACTGGGACACAGGACGCGAAGCCCAATGCAGCAAGCTCGCTGCGTTGGAGCTATGGATGGTGGAGGATGGGTGGCAGGCCTTGTATTTTCCCCAGCTTGTTATTCGCCATGGATTCTGTGATGTGATGGGTGAACATAGAGGAGATGGGGTGGGTGGGACACATGAAAAATGGTTTGAGATGGTGGAAACGGTTTTAGAAACCTTCGCGATGGTCGGTAAGCTGGTCCAGTATGACATGGTGCGGTGGCACTCAATGGAATGGAGACTGGAAGGGATGATAGAGAACGAGAACCCCAATGGCGATCGGTGGGAGGGGAATTGGTGGACCTCAATATGAGGCGGCAGATCCCGTGGGAATGCCAGCCGCAATCGAGGGGATTTTCCAATGCTGAGTTGGAATGTGTCGAGACTGACGACAGCAGCACGATAGTGTGACAGTGACTTCGCAATAGTGAGGCATGGGGGCTGCGACTGGCTATCTGAATGAACGGACCGATTGCATTTCCTGGCTGGAGGCATGTCACACCCGACGAGGCAGCGCGTCGGCACAGGAGCGAAGAACGAGTCATGGCCCTTGGAGATTGGCTGCACGGCTTTATCTAATCGGGAGCATTTCCACTTAGAGGCATTTGGCAACCACGAGCTCGGCCTCACACGTCGACGTTCCACTTGCTCCAACCACCGACGAGCATCACGGTTCGGCCATGCGAGTTCCTCCTGTGCCAAAGTGGAAACACGGAAGGGAACACAAAGCTTGCGTGTGACAGCTGACGCAAGCAAAGCAGCGGACAGAAGTTTATGCTACACCTGTTCTACTTTTCACTTCTCTGCATCTACAAGGGCGGCTCGGTTTGTGTGCGTTTTTTCTGGTTACCCACGACAAAACGGATTAGAGAGGTAACTTTTACAGTGCCCCGAGCCTTCGGCCTGTCAGACATAGGATGTCGTTTGCACAAGAGTGGTCTCAAATTGTCAGAATGGCGAGCGTTCGATTGGTTCATTTTGTTTCCAGGTCAAGATTCTGTCACTGTTTCGGATGACGTTGACAATATGCCCATTGATTCCTCCTGGGGATTTGCGTTAGATGGAGTTTTTAGGCGAAATGGAGTGCAGCGCTATGGAGTGTTCGCGAGAATAGGTGTATTTAGTTCTACAGTTTTGCGCGCGGCTCGAGCCTGCAGGAAACGGTCGAACACAGGCAAACGGGGAAGGGAAAATCCAAGGAAACACTGACACTTGGTTACTATGTCTCGCTCATGCACTAGATAAGTTGCCCGCGCAACCTCCCAACTCGCAATTGTTGAAATTTGACTTGACTGTTCGCTCACGTTCAGACTGCAGCCAATCACTGCCAATCAGGTTCAGTGTCAACGGGAGTCATGATTGTTAGAAATAGACTGCAAATACCACTTTTGTATTTGTACTTTTATATCCTAGTTTATGTTGTGAATGTTCTAGTGGGTTGGGGTGTACTCACAAATCCCAACCTCACCCAATTGTGATCCCCACAATCTCCAATTACCCAATTGGAGATTTCGGAGATCCCAATGGGGATTCCCTCCAATTCCCCTTCATCCATTCTCTCTCACCTTGCCATGTACTTAAAGAGCCTTGGGCTCCTTACCTAATTAATCATTTCAACTCTATTTCTTACAATGATGAGAACCAGGTATTTGGGATTGAAATCTGAGCTGTTCTAGGTGAGACAATAAAGAGAAATAAGTGTAAATGATTTATCACAATAAATAGGGGTTCACGAGCGGAATTTCACTCTCTTTATTCTCTAATCGAGTAGAAAGTCATCATAGTAATCAATAATGGCACATCGATGCACACTCCCCATGGCCCAAAACCATATACTGTGGTCGATCTCACATCATGTGAAACATGCAGTACATTGACCCAAATCATACTCAGTGGCAACATACCATATGCCGTTAGCAACCTGCCTCAATTCTACCGAGAATGTCCCGAAGATAGTTTGCCATATCTGACATTGCAGGGCCGTTCCTCCCAGGTGGTCGAAATGGCAAAGCGCGCCAGGATGAAGGCCATCTGAGCATGCTTTCCTGCCCACTCCCCCTCTAGAAGAGGATCAACCACCAAGGAGGGCCTACTGTAATCCCCTAGTGTGATCAAGTGCCTCAGCTGTCGGAAACGGTCACTGATCGGCGGAAAACCCGAAATGAGCTCTAACAGGAAGATGCCGAATGCGTAGGTGTCAGATTTCTGGCTTAGTTGGCCATTCTGGAAATAGACTGGGTCGATGTAGCCAGCCGATCCGACCACATCTGTTGTAACGTGCGTTTTCCAGTCCTCTATGGTGCGAGCCACACCAAAGTCAGCCACCACTGGAGTGAGATCCTGCGGTTACCAGATACAGACGGAAGGGAAGGGACATGGAAACCATATGAGACGGAATAGGCACGGGACGACCACCAGTGAATAGAAAACAAATACAGCACATCCATGGAGCTGCAATTTTTTTTTTTAATTTTTTTTTTATATAATGCTAAAAAACCAACCGCAATGTAGGCAAAAGAAGGGAAGCAGGCTTGTACCATACCTCGCGCAGAAGCACATTTGCCGACTTGAAGTCACGGTGAATGAACTTGTGCGCGTGAATGGCAGCTAGCGCCTCGGCACACCCCACTGCCACCCTCATACGATCCCTCCAGGGGAAGTGCACCTCTCCCTGGCGGACTGGATATGGGAGTAGGGGGGAGGGGGGGAGGAAGGGGAGAGGGATGAGGGGGTTGTTGTGAGGGAAGTGCACCTCGCCCTGGCGGACTGTGTTGGGGGGAGGAGTGGGGTAGGGGAAGGGGGGATGGAGGGAGGGACTTCACTATTTGAGATAACACAGGAGAAAAGCAAGGCTGAGAGCAGGTAGCAAGACAAGTGATAAGGAAAGGCATTTGCTGGCTTTCGACTGTCATTACGCGCACGTACAGGCACATGCAGGCACATGCAGGCATGTGCAGGCACATGCAGACATGCACGCACATGCAGGCACGTGCAGGCACATGCAGACGTGCAGGCACATGCAGGCACAGGCACATGCAGGCACATGCAGGCACATGAAGGTACATGCAGGCACATGAAGGTACATGCAGGCACATGCAGGCACATGCAGGAACATGCAGGCACGTGCAGGGGGAGTAGGGGGATGGAGGGAGGGACTTCACGAATTCAAGGCTGACAGCAGCTGACAAGTGAGAAGGAAAGGCATTTGCTGCCTCTCGACTGTCATTACGCGGACATGCAGGCACATGCAGGCACGTGCAGGCACATGCAGGCACATGCAGGCACATGCAGGCAGGTGCAGGCACATGCAGGCACGTGCAGGCACATGCAGGCACAGGCAGGCACGTGCAGGCACATGCAGGCACATGCAGGCAAGTGCAGGCACATGCAGGCACATGCAGGCACGTGCAGGCACATGCAGGCACGTGCAGGCACCGTGCAGGCACATGCAGGCACTTGCAGGCACTGTGCAGGCACATGCAGGCACATGCAGGCACATGCAGCAGCACATGCAGCAGCATGCAGACACATGCAGGCACATGCAGACACGTGCAGGCACATGCTTGCTATGAGGAGCGAGAGGAGGAGAGCGAACTTCTCTTTTCATGTGAGTGAGAAAGAGGGCGGAGAGGGGAGTGGGGCTACGGGGATTTCCCTCACCTCTTGTCAGAAAGATCTTGATGTCGCCTCGGGGAATAAACTCATACACGAGAATGAGGCCCTGGGATGGGTCCATGGCCTTGCCGTGCAGTCGCAAGATGTTGGGGTGATTGACGGCTGACATGGCCGCCACCTCAGCCTGAAATCACGGAGCAGATGGGAGCAGAGGGAATCTATATGCAAGCAAGGGGGTAAAAGAATGCATTCACGTTGGTACACGTGCAAATTTGTTGAGTTCTTTGTAACATTGTTAGTTTATTGGCACATCAACACCCAGGTGTAAGACAGAGACTCACATTGAAGCTCGTGAGGTCTTGCGCAACATCCTTCCCTTTCATCACTTTCACCGCCACTTCACACTCCCTCATCCCCCCGCCTGTAGCGCTGCTGCTTCCGCCAGCAGGCAGCACCATCCGCCCATAATACACCTGTCCGAACCCCCCCTTCCCTACCACGCGCTTATACCCCCCCGTTGCCGCCTTGATCTCCGCGGAGGTGAACTCGCGCAACACAGGGAGCGCGGAGGCGGAGGAAGCCCCGGCGGGTAAGGTGAAAGCGGAACCCGAGGGGCCGCCGCCGCCGCCTGCAGAGCGACCGGCAGAGTGACCAGCGGAGACGCGCGGAGAAGCAGCGGAAGGGATTGGGGAAAGCGGTCCCATATGCGCCAGTGTTATTTCGGGAAAGGGCGCTTGTTCCCCCCCGAAGCCGTTGGGGAACCAAGTGGGGGGAAGGGCTGGGGAAGGGGCGCCGGGTTTAGAACCGGAGGTGGCTCCGCCACTGGCGCTGGCGCTGGTGCTGGCGCAGATTGCACGGCGCGAGGCATGCATTCGAATGTCACGGTCTCGTAATAGTCTGCCGAAGGGTCATAGTAAATGGCGGCGCTGGAGGTACGGGGGACATAGGCGGCGGAGGGAGGAGGAGGAAAGGAGGAGGGAGGTGCAAGGGGTTGACTGGCTGATGTGGTTCCGGCGCAGGGGGAATGGGCAGGCGGAGGGGAGCTTGAAGGGCCAGACGGCCGATGTGGAATGGTGGTCACGGAAGGTGTACTACCATATACTACGGCCGTAGAACGGCCCGTATAAGCGCATGCCGGGGACCCGCCAAGAGGCCGCACGGAAGGGTTTTCGGCTGGCTAGGCGTCCAATCGGGGGCAGACCCTGGAATGGGCTCGCTGTTCACCCGGTACATCGGGTTGGCAGCCGGGGATTCGCCTTTGCTCGGTACGCCCCCACCCGGAAAACGACTTTGGGATGAAGGTGGGCTTGCTACAGAATCTTGAGACGCGGCGCGATTTGTGTGGGGGGGGGGGGGTGGGGGGGGGAGATCCGGTGGGGGGGAGGGGGGATGGGGAAGGTGTGGGAGGTGGGAAATAGGGGGGTATGGTAGGTGAGGCTTTCAAAGCCGGAATCATCGGGATTGTCGCAGCAGTATGAGAGGAGCTTGAGCAAGGACCGGGGGTGTGCTTGTATCGCGTACAGTGTGCGATGTGCCCATAACTCATTGAATGCACTTTGTGCATATTCTGTGACCAATTGTATCGCACGGTGTGACGGGGGCGAGGGAGGAGGGTTGACCGAAAAAACTGTAAAAACTCCTTTCGCTAACTGAACAATGGGGGAAAAAAAAATAATTTTCGCCAACTGAATAATATATCTTATATCGAAGCCCTCCCCTAGAACTCACCGGCTGACTTATTCGCTTTCGCAGGCGCGTCGTTGCGCCTGCGGCCGTAGCGAATGCCAATGATATGGCGACTTGGCGACGTGCGACCTAGCGACTTCACACGGCTGCGGCTGAAGCGATTGCCCATGGCTTGGCGACCTCGTGACCTTTTCGACGGCGGAGCGATGAACTGGCGCTTTAGGGTTCGAAACGCCTGAAGTCCGAACTACCCAATCGGAATTGTTTGTTCAAACGGTTGAACACGACCGCGTGGCAATTGAATTCAAGCAACGTTTCGAGCTCCAAATATATATGCTCGGTAATCTGAGCGATCGAGTCTAATCTGGGGAAATCTTCGCCTGCAATACTGGAATTCGCCATCTGCGGTGTGCTGCTTGGGGCAGTCTCGAGCATCTCGCTGTGAGAATTTCCCTTGGAGTGCACGTTATGGCGGGGAGGGGAGGGGAGGGGGAAGGACCTTCGAAATGGCGCGTACAACACCATGAAATGGGGAGGGGAGCCACGAAATGGGAGGCGAGGAGAATGGCTGAGCAGGTCAGGCGAGGACTCAGGTGGGTAGATGGGGTCAGGGCGTGTTTCCTGGGTTTTGTAACTCATAGATGTCACGCAACCGAACCTTGTTACCGGGCTCGACAAGCTGCGCATGAAAATCGTGCGCAAATTATGTACACGGCAAAAACGTCCAAAGCCTGGCTAGCGAAAAATAGAACGCTTACATTCGCAAGGTATTCGTGACGGTTGCGAAGCACGGCGAAACGAACGGAAGAAGAATTGGAGTTGCATGCGCGACTCAACGGGACTCTTTCCCGGGGCGAAACTCGGTTACCCTTCTGTTTTCGCGTGTCAGTCTATTATGTGCGTGCTGTGCACCCGCTCATTTGTCAAGCCACGGGCGGGGCTCGTGTTTGCTCGTGTCCTAGCGTTTTGCTGTTGAGACTGTAGGTGTACCTCTAACACATTCTCACTTGGCGAATCAATATTTCAGCAGGTTGGGGCAAAATGAACGCGGTGGACAGCCCTGATTGTCCTAGATGCTGTTGTCCAGCGCTATTCCACCCCGCCTGCTGCCTCGGTCGGTCGTCTAATCCTCCCCATGCTCTTTCCTGACCTTGCGTCGTTCCCCACTGTCGCCGACCTGGCCGCTCACCTGCGCAACATAGACGAGCCCTAGCATGCTGCCTGCACCCCCACACAGCTTCTAGCCCACCAGCCGCCCCTCACCTCTACTCTCTACCTGTTAGCCACCCGCCTCCCTGACCGTCTTGCCACTGCCCGTGACCGCTTTCTTAGCGTCCACCCAGCAGACCTTACCCTCACTGACTTTGTTGACACCCTGTCCGCTATAGAGGCCCGCCACCGCTCTATCGCTCAGACCAGCGGTACTGTGCCGGTCCCTATCTTTCAGGGTTGTGCCCCCGCTCAGTGCACCTTCTCCGACGGTTCTGCTGCTGTGGCTGAGACAGCCGCTGCCGCACAGGTTTGTCCGGGGAAAGGTCGGCGCCCCAAGGCTGGACGTGGCGACGGGGTTGGGGGTGCGGGTGAAGGTGGTGCTGGAGTTGGGTCACCTAGTGGTGGTGCTGACTCGGGGACCCTGACAGGTGCAGCCGAGCAGCCGTCTCAGCCGTCGCCGGTGTTGCCGCCGGACCCGCGCCAGCCGCAGCCGCCGCAGCTGTAGCCGTCGCCGCAGCCACAGCAGTCGCTGCAGCAGCAGAGGCGGACGAGTCGTCTTCCGCCTGGGTGGCCCGGCGCTGGTGGCAGCGCTGGACGTGGTGGTAGTGCTCGTGGTGGGCTGCCGAGTGGTGGTTCGGGTGCCGCGCGCTGTCAGTACCTGCTTCAGACCGGTCCTCGCCGTGGCTTCGTTTGCGGTAAGATCGATCATACCTCCGTCCGTTGTTTCCATCACCTGGACGACCTGTTTCGTCAGCGTTTCGGCCTGTCGCCCGAGCTCCCAGACTGGCCTTGCTTAGTCGTAGGGTTCAGATTTTTTATCTGGACATGGATAAGATTGTTGCTGCTTTGCATGTGATGTATGCTCATGAATCTAGTGTGCTTCCGTCTTATTACCCCTTGTTCCCTATGCAAGGTGTGCCTTCCTTAGACTCCCCTACTACGTCAGGCGTAGGATCCCCTGCTTTGTTTAGCCTTGGAACGTCCGTCGCTACTCACCTGTCTCCCCTGTCTCGCACTCTCACCATATGTTGCTTCGTTCCCACGCGTCTCGTCCTCCCCTTCTCCCGTCGCCCCCTCCATCCTCCCTTTTCGTTGCTCCCCCCCCTCTGTCTGACTACCTGCGTGCCGCTCGTCCTCTTGTTCCTCGGGTCCTTGCCTCTCTCGTTACCGACCCGTCTGTTCCGGTTTCGAGCCTTGACGCCCTTGTCGCTGCAGTCGCTGACTTCACCTCTACCCGGCGCCTTAACTACGTCACCGCTCTGGTCTCTGACCCTACCTGTCCTGCGTCTGTCGGGGGTGCTCCTGCCCTTGGCAGTGACGTCGTGGAGGACCGCCAGTATGAGCTTGCTTTCCTGTCCGAGGCTGCTCCCCATCTCTGTTCCATGCTTCTAGTCCCTGAGGGTGACCCCGACGCTTTCGACATCCCGACCCCTTGCACTTACGCTGAGGCGGTCTCGGGACCTTGGGCCTCTCAGTGGATAGCTGCCATGGAGCAGGAGATGGCATCTTGGAGATCCACTGGCACCTACGTCGACGCAGTTCCCCAACCTAGGGTGAACGTAGTTGATGGCCGCTAGCTCTTCAAGGTGAAGCGCCTTCCTGGAGAGCCGCCTGTGTTCAAGGCGCGCTACGTGGCTAGAGGTTTCAGTCAGCGTGAGGGGGTGGACCTCTTCCAGACCTTCGCTCCGACCCCGAAGATGACTACTCTTCGGGTGCTACTACACGTAGCAGCGCAGCGTAACTAGGAGCTTCATTCCCTCAACTTCTCCACTGCGTTTCTTCAGAGAAGTCTACACGAGCAGATCTACCTGCGTCGCCCTCAGGCCTTCACTGGTACCTTCCCTCCTAGGACCCAGTGGCTCCTCCGGCGCCCCGTTTACGGCCTGCGCCAGGCTCCCCATGAGTGGCACGACACGCTACGTGCTACGCTTGCTGACCTGCAGTTCTTTCCGTCCTCTGCAGACCCCTCGCTCTTCGTTCGTGCTGGCCAGACTCCGTTCTACATCCTTGTTTACGTAAACGACGTGGTCTTTGCCATGGCAGACAGGGACGCACTGGCCTCCGTGAAGGCAGAGCTGCTGAAGAGACACACCTGCACTGACCTTGGAGAACTGCGCCACTAGCTTTGCTTGCAGATCTCCAGGGACAGAGCAGCCCGCACCATCACTTTGACTCGGTCACACTTGGTGCGCCAGGTCCTTCAGAGGTTCGGCCTTCAGTTCTCCTTCGCAGAGCCCACCCCTCTGCCCCTAGACCACAGGCTCTCCGCTCCAGTTCCTGAGGAGTCTGCAGAGCCCAGTGGTCCTTACGCAGAGCTGGTGGGTTGCCTCATGTACGTGATGACTTGCACGCGCCCAGATCTCGCATACCCTTTCAGCATCCTGGCTCGCTTTGTAGCTACAGGCAGACACCGACCTCAGCACTGGTCTGCCGCTAAGAGGGTTTTGCGTTATCTTGCAAGTACATCAGGCATGGGGTTAGTGCTAGGAGGATGTAGGCCAGTGGTCCTTACTGGACACACAGACGCTTCTTGGGCAGACGACGCCGAGACCCTCAGGTCCTCACAGGGCTACTGCTTCAGCCTTGGTTCAGGTGCCGTCTCGTGGAGAGCTACCCGCTCCTCGTCTGTTGCCCAGTCCAGCTGTGAGGCCGAGATCTACGCCGGTGCCATGGCGGCACAGGAGCTCCGCTGGCTGACCTTCTTGCTCACAGACTTAGGTGAGCGGCCTAGCTCTGCCCCGGTCCTGTACGATGACAACAGGGCCATGATCCTCCTGTGTCAGGAGCCTCGACTCGAGGGCAGAGCAAAGCATATTCAGCAGCGGTACTTCCTCCTACGTGAGCTGCAGCAGCGTCGCCAGGCGCGCATAGTATACTTGGCCTCCGATATCTTTGCGAATGCACTTGCGCCTAAAGATCATCAGCGGCACTGTGTACAGCTGGGTCTCGTTCCTGTAGCCTCTCACTTGCTAGGGCCTTGACTTTGTACTGTCCTTTATATATATATTTTACCCAGACTGGCCTTGTGGCCTCTCCCAATGGCTGGACTAGTAGTGCCGCCCTGGGCTTGCTCTTGCCTTGTCTGTACTCCTTTTGACTGGTCTTTAGACCCTTGTCTCAGAGGCTGGACAAGTAGTGCCACCCTGAGCTGCTTCTTCCCTTGTTAGGCACTGCCCCTACATAGTCTAGGGGGTGTGTCAAATGTAACTTAGGTTGTTACTGTAGACTATGCTGGATTGTGCGTTACAGGGTACAACACCCTAGTCTATATATCCTTGTACACACACATTCTAGTTCAATCATTTTCTTTCTGATATCAGATTGCTCTTCTGTTTTCAGAGCGACAACCCCTAGTGGTCGGCGAGCCTCTAAAAATCCAGATGTGCCAGGTTCGCCAACCAATGTCGAGGCAAAAAATACATCAGCTCACTGACGGTGCTGTAGGAAAACGCCTGCAACGCCAACGGAATCCATCAACGTTGCCCCAGGAAAATCCGTCTATCCACAGCCAGTAGGAACGCGCCAAGGAGGGCGCCAAGGAATGTAACATTCTCATGAAACCTGGCCTCCGGAAGTCAGGGTAATTACACTGCTTTGTCAAGGAAAATAGGGTAAAAATTCGACCAAGCCCTGCTTTGACGCATTCAGAATATCGTTGACAGGCAAGCCAAAATCATCCCACGACTGATTTTTTAGTAGGGGATGGACTCACCGTGAAAAATCTAACACAGAGTTCCGCATTCCTAGAAAATATTGGCTCCCCTATCATTGTCAGGAGTTGTAGGGTGACCCCTAGGTTACCGAGAGACCTGCTTGAAACGTGGAGTTGATACACAGGTAGAGAGGCTTGCAACGTGGCGATGTTTATTCAGTCGCTGCATACGCCGGTCAAGCCGCCCATGCACAGTACACAAAAAACAACGCCCCATTTCCTGGGGAAACCCCATAGTCCATATTGCCCCTGTCGTACGGCCAGTATTCGTTAAAAGGGAAATCTCTCGCGTCGCCCCCCGGGCTCTCAGGGAATATGACATGTACTAAGTTACATTGCACAGCAGCAGGATACTAACAAGATGTCGGCACTTCATGTTTTGCGCTAGCTTGGCCACTATTGGTCAAAATTCGGCAAAAATCTGCGCACGCAGCAAATGAGGCCGGGAATTTTTCCGGCAGCCTGATTGTTCGGGTTGAGGGCCAGTTGCTATGTGAACCGATGGCAAGCCACTTCGTGTCATTCGGGATTTCGCTTGTCAAAATTGCTTGTCTTTGTAGTCTTGACATGAATAAGCGTGACTTGTCTGGGTGTTGAGACACGCCCTCAGTTGAAAAATGCCACCTCTGAATTTTTAGACGAAAGTCGAAGGCATGTGGGGGAACGTGAAACATTTGCCGTTGAGCTGTTCTGACGGCCCGTTTGAGTTTGGATGTTGGGGAGGAGCCATTTTCTCGCTTTCGGTCCAACCAAGCTATACCATTTTTATTTTAGTCGTTTGTGTAAGAAGGCTAGGTTAGCTACGAAGCTAGGAAAGGCATGAGGTTTAGCTAGGAGGAGCCATGGAGTGGCGTGAGGTTTAGGAAGGAGAAAGTTGAGGAGAGAAAAGAGAGTTGGAATAGAAAGAGAGGCATACAAGGAGGGGATTGTACCCTCTACAGTAAATTTCGGTAACCTACCAAGCCTAACAATTATATAACTCAATATACAATTTAACAGTTTGTGCATAAATCTACAATATTACTACTCCACTCTATTTGTTATGAATGGGACTGCCGAGTAGCGCGGAGGGCAATGGCGAAACTGTGAACGAGTGAATGACAATAAAATAAAAGACAATACAATGTATAGAAAGCCTAGGGTGATCCTGGACGTAGGATCTGAAGGTTCGGGAAATGTATCGAAGGGCCTTGATGTGTCGTAGCGAGGTCCGGAAAGGCCCAGGAGGCTCGAACTGATAGGTCTGGAACCCTGGCGATGGTTCGGGACTGTTCGAGTCTTACACCTTGTAGCAAGCCTCAGTAAGGAATTCCTAATTCCTTACACCATTGCTCCATGCAGCTCATACCGTAACATGTTCAGGTACATTTCCCTGTTACATCCAGAAGAATGTAACAGTAACAAAGAAGAACAAATGGAATTTTGTAGCTCACATGCGAGCATGGACAAACACTAACACCTATCTAACATTCACAAAAGTAATTTTTTGAAAGTGTGTAACACTTTCTAAAAATGTGTATTGTGAGAGTGTAGCGAGGGCCAACGCAGCAAAGGCAGCAACGAAGCGCTACCCACCCTCTTTTGCCTACAAAAGAGGGACGTGAGGCCATTCGGCCTCACCCACGTTCTTCATTTCTAGTTTCTCTAGTTCAATTTCCGCAGTTTCTCGTCCAACCTGGCGAAGACCCAGTCCCTCCCCCGAGGCAAGGCTCCGACGACGCTCCTCACCGACATTTTGCAGCACAACCTCGCTAACATGGCGTCGGCGAACACGACTCCGAATCGTCCGACGAACAACCCCAACAATTCCGTAGAGCCCGGAACTTCGGCCGGGGCAACCGCCAGTCGCCAGAAACGTCCTGCTGAGGAAATTTTTGGCGAGGGGCCCTCGGCTGTCGAGGTCCTGCTTGGCGCCAATCGCGCTGCTCCAGAAGAAACTCGCGCGGCTGCAACGGAGGACCACGCGCCTGCGCACGTCGCAACGGCTGCAGGCCACGCGGGCCCCACCGAGCACACGCCCTTTGACGAGGTCGTGCCAGCCGCCGCCGCCCCCGCGTTGACCGCACAACAACTTTAGGCGCTTTTGGCGCTGTTACACCAGCAGCCGAATGTTACGCTTGGAACATCTTCGGACAATATAACTGCTACGACCAATTTCGCCAAGAAGAAAGAAATGCCGCCACCTACTTGCGCGCCGAAAGCTCCGCGCATCGACAACCAGCCCCCGACACCGACTCCCGCACTCGCCAATGACACCGACGACAGCGACGACTCTGAAAACGATGATGGTGAGGCTCCTGCCAATATTGCTCGCCATCGCATTCTCGCCCCCCGCCCCCCCTCTTCCCCCCCTTGGTCCCACGCCCGCAGCAACTACCTTCATGCGTAAGGGCGTGCGCGACCAGGCCGAAGTCTTCACTGCTATCCAAGCGCACCTGCAGCACATCGACTTCGAGCTGCAGCACGGCAACGTCACCGGCGCACTCAACAACGTGAAACACATCGAGACGCTTATTAATAAGCGTTTCGAGGTGCTTCTCGTGGCGGATGAGGCCGGCTTTGAGGCCGCTGATCGCTTCCAGTTCTACCAGTCCAAGAGTGTGCTGACGTCCCGTTCCTACAAGCTGGCGGTCGCTGACGTGGCTGCACTCAAGCGCGCACGCGCCATCTACCCCCGTGGTGGTCGTCCTGGCGGTCGTGACGGAGAAATGGACCTCAAAGGCTCCCCCCTCTCACGTGCCAGCAGCCACGCTTCAAGGGTGTGTGCTTCCGCTGTGGCCAGCCAGGTCACATGGCTAACGCGTGCCCCATGGGCGGGCGTGGAGCACAAGGCCCCTCACCGGTGGTGTGAGCGGGGGTAAGGGCGGTGCCCTTCGCCAATATGCAAGAAGCATATTGGGCTGCACCGGGGGTGCATGGCTGGTGGCCGGCCTTAGGACAAGGCAAATGGTCTAGTAGACTAGGGTAGCCCTAGGGGCAGAGAAGGCCGTGGGCCTAGGACCTTGCGTTATTCCATGTATGGATCATGCATGCCGTTATGGTGCATTGAAACTAAGATTGCAAAAAAAAAAAAAAAAAAAAAAACTTTTGCAAGGCCTCGATGAAAAGAGAAAGAGAGAGGGCAAGAGAAACAGAGAGAGATCAAGCGAGAGAGAAAGAGAGAGAGAGAGAGAGAGAGAGAGAGAGAGAGAGAGAGAGAGAGAGAGAGAGAGAGAGAGAATGGATGAGAGAGAGAGAGAGGAGAGAGAGAGAGAGAGAGAGAGGAGAGAGAGCATAAGAGAAAGCAAGGAAAGAGACAAGAGAAAAGAGAGAGAGAGAAAAAGAGATAGAAAGAGAGAAAGAAAGAAAGTGTGTGTGTGTGTGTGTATGTATGAGAGAGAGAGAGAGAGAGAGAGAGAGAGAGAGAGAGAGAGAGAGAGAGAGAGAGAGAGAGAGAGAGAGAGAGAGAGAGAGAAGAGAGAGAGAGAGAGAGGAGAGAGAGAGAGAGAGTAGAGAGAGAGAGAGAGAGAGAGAGAGAGAGAGAAAGATCGAGAGAGAAGAGTGAGAGAGAAGAGAGAGAGAGAGAGAGAGAGAGAGAGAGAGAGAGAGAGAAGAGAGAGAGAGAGAGAGAGAGGAGAGAGAGAGAGAGAGAGAGAGGAGAGAGAGAGAGAGAGAGAGAGAGGTGACGAAGGCTCGAGCGCTAAAGGGAGAAGGCATGAATATCAGCCATGCCCTTTTTGCAATTGAACATGAGCCACTCTTGCTTTGCCAACTGAATGGGAGCTATGCCCCCCTGGAATCGACTATGAAACATCCACCCTTTAGGCAATTGTCTGGTCTCACTCACTTGGGTACTTATGTGATTCTTGCCACCCGACCCTTTGGTCCAGCAGAAATTGGGAAAGGATGGTTACACAACGAACTTGACCCCTACGAGTACGCGGTTACAGACAAGGACGTAACTGTTATGCATAGTCGATTGCGTCACGCCCTACACTGGTGGTGCTCATGGTGCGATAGCAGTTTCATCCTGTCCATCATCGAGAAAGGATATTGGCTTCCTTGGAAGGAAGCCGTGCCACATGCCTTTGAGGATAGCAATCATGCTGGAGTTCACACACACCTGGACTTCACTCGTGGAGCGATTCGCGACCTCGTCACCTCGGGTGCCGCCGTCAAGGTCCCTACGAAGGACGCGCTCATGTGTGTCAGTCCACTTAACGTGGTGGAGCAGCGCGACAAGTGTCGCCTCATTCTTGACTTGCGCAAAGTCAACAACTGCCTCGACATCCCCAAGTTCAAGTACGAAGGCTTGAACAGGGTAGCCGAACTCATCCGCCCAGGCGATTGGATGTTCTCCATCGACCTAAAGTCAGGCTACCACCATGTCGAGATCCACCCCTCCTGCTGGAAGTTCTTGGGATTTCAGTTCGAAGGAGACTACTATTCCTTCATATCGCTCCCGTTCGGGCTTGCCACTGCCCCGTTCGTCTTCACACAACTGATCAAACAACTGGCAAAGCGATGGCGGGCAAGCGGCGTGCGGGTTGTTCCATATGTCGACGACTTACTATTCCTCTGCAACTCCCACTCGGATGTACGCTCGACCTGCGCAGCTGTTGTTAAGGACCTGAAGGCAGCAGGTTTTGTTATAAACGGCAAAAAGTCACATCTACACCCCTCGTGCCAGATAGCTTTCCTCGGCCTGGAGATGATGCCGCCCAAGGCACCTTCTCCGTCGGACTCGAACGTCGAGCACAACTTTTTGCTTCACTCCAAGCCCTCATCCCCAGGGACAAGAGGGACGACCGGTTCCCATCCGGTCCCTTGCGAGAATCACAGGAATGCTGGCCTCCATGAATCTGGCATTGGGTGCTATGGCACGTGCCTTTTAGTCACGAGCTCCTTCGACTTATTGCAGACGCCACCTCTTGGCACGCCAAGGCACACTTGTCGTCGACAGCAGTGCACGAGCTGCATTTTTGGCTTGCGCAGTTCGACAAGTTCAACGGAAACCCATTCCATCTCAGTCACCAGTTCGATGCCGTCATCCACGTCGATGCAAGCGCATACAGCTGGGGCGCCACCCTGACACAACTTCCTGGGACGCCCATTGAAGCCAGTGCTCGCA